CGGTCAAAAGGAGATGCTCTGCCCCGAGGTAACCAAATCACTTGATAAGGAAGAAAAAGAAATTAACATGTGACTTACAAAATTTAGTTATGTTTCTCATGAGTAATACGGCAATTTGGGGAGAGGTCAGGGAGTTAACCGGTCCGATGACAGCAGCTTGCATGCATAGCAGGCAAATAAATACTAAAAGAAGTGTTAACAGCTTGATCCCAACAACTTTTGCTCTTTTGATTGTCTACGGATTTCCACGATGGTACTGTCCACGGTAAAATGTACCACATGTCCAAAGGAAGGTGTTTGTCCAATACGGTGTTTACGGTAAATCGCCTTTTGCCTTGGTCTCTTTTGACATGTCAGCTGAACCTAATTTAATCCCAACTGCCCTCCAATCGGCTCAAATATGGTTCTTCTTCACTTTCTCGCCCTTTTTCTTTTTCCTCCGTGTCCTATGCTGGGCAACAATATTTATTTATTTCACTAGCTTAATATCTACTGGATAAATGAATTTTTGACATCCTGACATTCCACCCGTGTTCCAATGTCAGTCAGTACCCTCTTCACCAAAATTTTCGGGATCATCGTTTGCCTTGCCGACAGCCAAAGTCCACGGTGAAGGGACCGTGATAATAACAGCAAGGTATGGTAGCAGAACAGGATATCACATGGTTTATCACCCAAAAAGTAGAATGCAAAAACTCAAAATGTTAGTATGCAAACTGATTTGCCACAGCTCGTGTATTCAGGCAGGTTTTTAATACATGAAAACAAACATAACGTTATAGATGGACAAATTTTTCACTAAAAGGTATTTCATCGTTTAATTAAAATATACGGGTTTTTTTAAAGGTTAAATATTTGTTAAATTATAAAAAGTTTTGCTTTGCGTATAAAAGTTTAGCAAAAGACGAACGTACCTGTTAAATATTTGATAATAAACTGCTTTACAAGACTTATAATCGGATCAAGCGTTACCTAAAAATGACAGCATCAAAATCATGGTTGAAAAAGTTGGTTCAAACTTTTATGTAAATGCCTAGCTGATCCAATAGAGTAACTTGTTTTAGTGTTTCGATGTGCAAACGTTCAAGGGGGTTGGCAAGCGATGCCGAAATTGAGATCAACTAGGCGCATTTGGGGTTTTTTCTTGCGTTCTAAAAATGGGCAAAGTGTAGGTCTAAAGGGCTACGACAAACTGAAAATGGTTTTCACAAACGACAAATATGTTTGTGTACTGCAGCTGGAGAGAATGATTTGACTTGGGGGAAGAATGACTTTAGAACCGCGAATGATCGTTTACGCCATGCTTAATGCATAGCTCCTACTGGGTCCTCAACTCATTCCATAAATAAGCAACTCTTCTTTTCTGTATTTAAGGACACTGATAAGACGCAGCGTGGGCAGGAAATGCACCACCCTTCTTAAAGATGTCTGTTTTCCTAAGGGAAGTATAGAGTTCTATCAAAGTCTGTAAATTTTTATCCTTTGTACTGCTTCCTGGCAATCCCTCGACCGTGAAGTACGCCCAGTTCTTAGTGTTAAATGTGTCATGTACTAGAGAATTAATCAAGGCAAATAACTTAAGTAATACATGATTTGGATACATTTAGCACAAAGTTTTGGTTCTTTAAGAGTATCCGTTAAGGTGACTAACAACGATCTCAAATTAGGAAAGGTACAATCTAACCAAAGAGTCAAAAAACGATTAATAAGGCTTTGTAGCAGAAATAAGGCCCTTGAAAGAATAAACAATTTACTCCTTACTGCCGACCAAAAAGGTACTCACCTGAACAGTGCGTTCAAAGTATTCCCCATTTGCTTGAATAATTGCAACACGACGGTTGTTTATCTCCCAGTATTGGCGAGGTGCCACTTTAGACTTGGCCTTTGTACTAGGCCTGGTGGGCTGGCCTTTGGACCATGCCAGTAGCCCAGATACCTTCTCATTCGCCAAATGTATGTATTCTGACCGAGTATTATGCTTTCCCTCGTCTTTACAGAAGGCTTGAGACGCTACATAATAAATCAAATTGGCTTTAATAAATGGCAGTGCTCTAACTGCAGCAGCATCACAACTTGTTCCAATTTGACAAAGTACGTCCAATGGTTCGAAAAGTGTAAGTTTTGTCAACGCTGTTATGGGTGTTGAGATAAATGAAGAAAATTCACCCAGGTATATTTGATGAATCGAAACTAACCAAATTCATCAAAATACGACTGTTGCCATAGTTATTTGCAAAGCCTAAAAACTTTTTTACCTGTGATGCTGGTAACCGAATCCCCCGAGGTGCAACTTAGGTGTGCCACTTTTAAACCGTTTTGTTTCTCAAATTACTAATTGAATCCACAGTGGTAAAACTGTATTTTAAGTCATGTAACAGTGATTTAGAGACAAAAGCAAAATAACACAAGATCAATTAAGGGTAGTAGATGAAGCTTTTTAATTTTAAAAACTCTCAGGTTTGTTTATAGCAGTAGCAGCCTTGAGAGCCATTAAAAGCTACGCGATTTGAGGAGTTATTGGCGAAATTCCTTTTTTTAGGTAGAGTATATATTCCCTGTCAAATTTAAAAACCGTTGAGAATGTGCAGCTTTTTTTTCTGTAACATGACAACAGGTCTGATCAATGCTTAGGCTTATCTTTTAACACCATGATTCTCAACGGAAATAGCATAAGAGTTTAGGAAAATACCATCATTATCTTATAATTTCAAATTTAAGTTTAAATATAAGCTTGTTTCTATTCAACACAAGCATTTTACCAGATTGTATATGAAGGACCTGTTCGTTCTTGATGAATGAATAATTAATCCTAATGTTCCTTCGTGAAAGGTATCTTCAAATTTTTGCTGTATATTTTAAACACTAGTAAACAAAATGCAAGACGAATACCTTTGGAAAGACTACAAAGTACTTTTACTTTTTGTATACCTAAGAGTGTGTTGCTAAAATAACAATACCAAATTCTGCCTTTTTAGACCATGAAAAGTTTCCCTTTTAGCTTCGCCTTTTGGTTTGTTTAAATGCCTTTGCAGTGATTGGTGAACCACTTTGAAATAATTAGAGGCAGGGCATGACTTCAACTAAAGCTTTTGGTGGAACCGGTCATTCGACTGCTGCTAACCAGCCGCTGATGCAGGTGAAGTGTGTAGCTTCGGAAAGGAGTAATGCATATTTATGCCGATACACATCTGTAGAACAAATAAATTCGTTTCATTATTAAAGGTCCTTATCTCGACAAAAAGAAACACATTTTCAATTTCTACTTCTACGTGCGCCTTTCTTTTACAAGAGTTAAACTAATCAGTGGGCTACTCCATGTCAATCCCACATACCCCGTTACACGAGTACCACCATCCCACAGGAAGCTAGAGAGTGCCATACCAAAGAACAAAGGTATACTAAAGGATAAAACAGGCAAATAGAGGGCACCATGGTTAACCTGTCGCCTGGTCGACCCAATGCTGCCGCCCTCTGTGCGCTCCTTCTTTATCTTCTGCGCATTGTCCTCCTCCTTCACATTTGTGTGCTGTATGCCCTCCTTCCAGCCACCAGACCTTCATCACAATTCCGCACAATTCTACTGAGTCCACTTCACCGTACCCTAACACCAGTCCGCCTACACTAAATGCCCTCTAATTTATACCTCCACAATATCAGTTCTGCTGCATGACGAGATTCTGTAATGTGACTGATCCGGAGATCCAAATACGTGACTCGTTACTAGACCAGAATGACACAAAGGTCAACAATAGGACAATACTTCGGCGTATGGTGCTTAAACACGGGCGTGGACAGGAACGCTTGACTGTTTATCCCACGTTGCTCATTGCAGGGTCACTTCGTGTAAAAAAGACATCAAGTTTCATTCGGATAAAATTAGGGCAAATTAATTAAAATGAATTAAAAACTTTCATTTGGGTTTCAACTCCTGCCTTGTGAAAACTGCAAATCCGCAGTATGACAAGTTGCAAAAAGTATGGGTGGTGTTGCAAGTAAGGGAAAGTATCAGAGTTGGCCCATAGCCTCGTCTATCCAACGCGTGTTCAATGTGTTGCTGTCCACTGCCACGACCACCAACGATGCTGCATCCACTAGGATAACGATGAAATCTAGGCGTGATATTTTATTTGCTATTCTGCTTCTTTTACATACTCATTATTGGTTTCTGTAACTCCTCCTCCACGGCCTTTGCAACGTGTCGCCATCATTTTATGTTGTTTATACAATCTCTTCCATCTCCTCCGCCCTGTTTCATTCGTTCCCCTGGACGCCTCATCTCAGTCGAACTTACTATATCTCGCTGCGCGATGGAGTCTCTGTTCAAGTCTCTGGTACTCGTACCTCGTAAATTTCACTCCGGTTATATGATGTGGCATCGAGCTGCTATTGGTCGGTTCCACGTCAGGTCGTCCAGCCACCTGATTGACTGGTGCCTCCATGTAGCACCTTTCACTTAAAAGCTTTCAAATTCAAGCAATAAGACTAACTTCTCTACTGTCAGCGACCTTAACCATGGCATTTCCTTTCGCATTTGACATATCGATCCATTCGTCAGAATTGAAGATACTGTGGTACTTGAAGCGGTAGGATGCAGTGCCACGTGCAATTCTTCATCTCCATAATTTTGATTATCGCTTTAAGGATACATTTAGTCCATTAAATGTGTCTTCAGTGGTGTTTATTAACTGTTGTAAGTACAATAGCATCAAGTGTTTTTTTTGGGGGGAGGGTAGAATCTCCCTAAATCTCATCCGGGGTTTTTTTGAAAACCTAGACGTCTCCAGTTTAAAAGATTAGCACAAGAAAATTTGGTTTTGCTGTATAACTTTGTCACTGAGTGCCTTTTCATAACTCCCTTTTTATGTCTCTGTTAAACTAGCAGTTATAGCGTATACCACTTTCAAAAGGGAAAGTGCTAAAGAAACACGCAAATTGGATAGACGTAGTTGAAGAAAGAAACCATGTGTGTGATTTCTCATTCTAAGTATAAAGGCAGATGTATGGCATGTTTTTTGTAGTGGAATTTGTGGGCTTAGCACAATTTTCTTAGTGATCTTGACAATGTAAAGGCCACAAATTCTCATTTACTCGTCATTCCCGGTTTTGGCATAATTGTGAATGTTTACTTAATTAGGTCAGGATTTGATGTGATTAGTGAGAATTCCTTTCTTGATTTGACGAAACGGTAATCCGAATGTCTTACCTTGATTTAGCTTGTTTACGACGAACGGAAAAAGTGAAAAATAGGCTGAATAGAGGAATATCCGAGGCTTTCTTCAAGGCTGGAGAGATGTAGGGTATCACGAGATGCTAAAAAAGGAAAATAGAGTAGTCCTCTTTGTAAGATGTAGTTGCATGTTCCTAGGTCGTCATGAAAAAGTTCCCCTCGCTCACCTTGAAGAACTACGGCAATAAAGACAGAGAAACTACCAACACAACCGTAGTCGAATGCCATTCAGACTAAGAATATTGACAGTGACATTGGCATAAATATGTAGGAGAGAAGGAGGTCTGACCATGGCCTAAAAATCTATGCGGCCTTCTCACATCAACATCATCATTACCATGACCACGTATTTTGAGAAATACCGAGTTAGGTCAATTCAAATTAGTCAATCATAGAAATGAAAAGACAAAACTACTCAACTGCATTTCTGATTCCTGACCTCTCTTGTGGTCTATTTTTCGCTAACGTGTAAGTAGAGATTGCGAAGAAAAAAAACAACCAAGATGAGGAACTGCGGAATTTATTGAGTTAAATTTCGTTATCGACTCTTTAAAAAGGTGCTTGCCACCATGCCTTCTTACTGGTGGTGTAAGGCACACCGAAGAGACTTGAAAGCCCTCTGTCTAGCTCATAATCTTTGTTGGGAGGAGGATACACTAGCGTTCTGCACACATCATTCTACCCACTAGATGTAACGGCATGTTTTCTTCTCCCACTTTCCAGCGAAGGCTAACGTCAAGGCCATGCCAGTGAAGGCTGGTAGGAGAAATATAAAGCAGGAAGACGTGACTCTAGTTTCTAAGTGCTTTTGGAAATTTTTCCTCCTTACTGTGAGATTTGGTTATAAAATTTCTGACGCAAGAAAGGGCGCATCATGCCTTGGCCATTCATGTGGAGTTGCCTTCTTCATTAGCCACCAAAAATTCTTTATTTACTGCAAGTCTATATGACATTACCTTGATTATAAGGCAGAATGCCAAACCAGTATTGTCCCACCAGGAGGTATTTGGCATGACTTCACAAATGTCTTGTCTGATTGGCTGCGGTTATTCTATCTGTCTTATCCTGGGTATGGGTCAGATAAAATGCGCAGATTTAGATCTGCCTCCCGATCTGAAAGTGCCTGTCACGTCCTACCAAACCATTCAGTGTTGCTTCTAAAACTATGATTAGGTGCGGCAGTGGGGAAGTAAGGTTTTTTTAATAACTCACAAAAGTGCTGGGAGGCGGTATAGCCAAGGACCGAACTCCATGACATCAGTTAGAAAAGTGGGCCCGCAAAGACAGAAGAGCTGATACTACCACGCCGTTTGGACAACTGAATGTCAATGCAACGTCATTTTTTCGTGATTTGCAACAAATTGGGAACAAGAGAATTAGATTAGGATGCACAAAAACGATAGGAGAAAGACAAAAAGATGACCGTTAACCACGTGATTGTGCGATAACATTGTAACGTCTGGGATTTACTCACTTTGTCAATCTACTTTGTCATGTAATTTCATGGTTGTCGCCTTTTCGTTTGCATTTTAAAAAATGATGTTTTAAAAGAGAATATCTAGGTGGTGAAATGAGCGAGAGGACAATATCCATGCCTAACGTATCACCCTCTGGTGATTTTACACCCCTAAGAAATACGAAATATCACAAGTACGCCCAGACATATGACCTCGACTTCGCTAAACCAAAAATTAGCCAAGTGACCCAATTCCAAATCGGCCACAACCACATCAGCATATCCTTGTGGTGTTTCAGATGCAGCCTTCGGAGCCTAAGGGGGCCAGTCAAAAGAACTCTTAACAGTTTATAAAGGGCAGGTAAGCAAGAAGCACTTTCCTATTAAATGTACTTGCTTTTTTGCCAACGCCTTGGTAACAGTGGGCCAAGTTTTAAAAATCTATGAAGATGTTAAAAGCCCGTTGAAATAAATCCCCAAAGAAAGCGAATTCTTCATTTGCCGTTACGTATCACGGAAACAAATGACAGCAGCATCAGGTCTCGAACATGTCAGTCTCAAATTAATGAGATCGATATAACTGAACACCGATATTTCCTATCGCTAGAATCCCTGTTTAATTATTCACTTAATTCAACCAAAAAAGAGCTTAAAAATGTTTGCATAAGAATCACGTCAGCATTTTCTTGTTCTACAAAGTGTGGCACATTTATTGAGAGGTGCAAGATTGAATGCACCTAATGTGCCAAGTAAGAGGCACAAATCTTTGCGCCTAATTCTACAAAAAGAGTACCTCCAATTTACTCAAAATACACCAGATATTCAAAACAAATTAAATTCAACTATTTCGTAAATCCTACAATAAAAATATGTGCCTTAAATGATCGATAAATTGCTGCTTTGTGATTAATAAAATCTGCAGATATCGGATTGCTTGAGTGATCGACTTGGAATATTCTCCCTTAAAATAGCAGTTGATAAAGAACGACAAGTGCAATTCTGAACCTCGTTAAGACGATGATGTGCTAAAGCTTATTACGGTGGGAAACTAATTATCCTCATAACTACCTTACTTGGGAAATATTTAAATAATTTTGCAGATTGGTTAAGATGTACGCTTGTTTTTTTTAGACTAAATGGTCCAGAAATGCGGACTTTACGTGTTTTCGCCTATTGAATTATTACCGAAATTCTTGAAATGTTGCAGTTCGTAACGCTTATCAAGGAAGGCCAAACATCATTGTTGAAGTACGGATCTGTAGTAAGGGCATTAACAGCGGCATCAACACGCGAATCAGGGATGGCAGACGGTAGTGCAAACTAGGAGGTCTACCTATGGAGTCATATTCTATGCGAGCTTCTTGCATCATCACTATTAGCATGAGTTTTGATGAATATTTATATCGAATCATGTCAAACCTGTCTAAATTTCCAATTTCCGATTCTTCACTTATAGTTTATCCCTTGACAATACGTGGGAAACCAGCTTTAAAATCAGCAAAACAACCAACGCAACGATTTTGGAAACCTGTTTTTGAAAAAAATTGGCATAGACGCCTTAAAAAGGCCTTACTTGTGGTGTGAGGCGCACTGAGGTGCTTTAATGATCTCTGTCTACTGCAAAATCGCAGCTAGTGAGGGGCTACATCAGCCTAGCCTGACTGAGTCAACCTACTTAATATATTATAAGTAGAAACGGCATCCTTGCTTCTCCCATCATCCAGGGAGGGTTAATGTCAGTCACGCCAATGAAAGCCAATAGAGGAAACATGAAGGAAGAAAGAGCAAGTCTCCTTTCAAAGTACTTTCTAACTTTTCCCCCCCTTCACGTGACGTTTGATTATTAAATATCTGCAGATTCCAAGATTGTGTGAGCAACTGACTTAATTTTATGCCTTTCAAGCCAGCAGTTACTTGAAACAAGTAGTTCAAATGGCACGTAAAGAATCAAAGAAAATATAAACCATGTGAGAAAGTAATGTGAATAAGCCCAATAAATTACTAGTAAAGTTTACAGCGTCAAATTACATGGGGCTCCAGTTACCTATCTTAACATACATATACTTAAACATTTCTACCAAAAAACTTAATTTTTATGCAGAATGAATCGTATAAAAAGCGGCACCTAAAAAGTGACTTAATAAATCATCAGTTTTCACACATTGTAATATTATTTGAAACCTTGAAATAGGTACTACTTTTAAGGTATACCAATGGAAGAAAAGAAATATTATTGTCATATCCACAGCACACATTAAATAAGTAAAAAACAACGATTGGATTCGCTTTTTGTGCAATAAACCAATCAGCATTTGCCATCCCAGTCTACTATTTTGATTGGCTAGCGAAGTATACATATAAACATGTAAAATGGCCCGCTAAAAATTAAAAAAGGGATAATTCAATTTGTGAAACTATTTTTTCCCGGTAACTTTTACTGCATGACTTAATTTTTAACACTCTTAAAGCAGCAGTATTAAGGCAAAAGTCAAATTATTTTGCATTTTCCCTTCATGAAAATTTGTGTTTTATTTTTGAAATTGTCCCATGTAAACCGATTTATTTGTTACCAAGGTATTAAAATCAGTAAAGCTCCTAAATAATCCCAAGGGTAGATGCACGTTGTTTGCTATCATGTAAAGATTAAGCCGTGAATGGTGCTAACAAAACCGCCTTTTGCAGATTCCTTCAGCATGATCAGTCGCACAGCCCTCCTTTGTCTCACCTTCATCGGTATCTGCATTCACTGGAGTCACGGCGCAGAAGCCGCCTCACTTGAACCCGCCAGAGGCTCTGGTGTCTGCAGCCTAGTTCGAAGGCGTCTCATCTTGGAGATCGCGCGACTCATGAACGCCTACGAGATGTGTGTTGAGGGCGGCTCTGACGCTCTCCTTCGGCGCAAGCGTGCACCAGAAATGCTTTGGGACATTGAATGAGTTTGCGTGAGGGAAAAACCACAAAGACTAATTCCGTTTTAACACGCACTCCTCACGCCTCCTTCATTTCGTCCTCCCCCCCCACCCACCACCACCACCACCACCTCACTCCCCACTCCCCGACTTTTCGGTGTCTACTAACCTTCATCCCATAAAAGCACGTGATTAATAAACCGGAACAAGGCCCTGATTTTGCAGAACGCGTTTTGGCGATGATGATGAGGAGGAAAATTAAGAGGTTTTAGTCTGCAAGGGAAAGTTGTTGTATGGTCTCAAGTCGCTGCGGCACAATACCAAATTTGACATTTGAAAGAACATTCGATAATTTTCATAGATTAAGTATACCAATAGCAGCGCTATCTCAATTTTCATTTTACAATCAAAAATTTTGATACGCCGTTTTAATTCTTGTTTGCGCGCCTTTTTAAAATCCCCGACTAGTTTTTTTGACGAGACCCGCATTTGTTAAAATTCAAGGTTAAGTTAGCCCTCTTCTCCGCGGAAAATATCACTCCTTGATCTTAAAGTATTACGTACGCAGTTTTTATTGCCAAACTAATGCATGGCTAATTTGTTGATATACTTCGACAGGAACATTCCTACTTTTTTACGGGATTTTGTCACATTGCGCCCTTATGATCTTCGTCATCTTCAATCCCCTTTCATTTTCGTATAGTCAGTCAAATAAAAAGTACTTTTGATGCACCTTTCTTAACTAGTAGTTACCGCTGTTTTCTAAACTCCTTTGGAAAAAAAATCGTTTCAGATTCTGCAAGATAAATGTGACCACCGAGCACACCAATTAAAACAAATTTGTTCACTTTACATAGAATAACTCATTTGCAAGTAAATTACTACTTAAGCATTTATTTTTAACTGCTGTAAATATGTGGAATGTGAGATTGCTCAGCTTGTCAGTTTTGTCAACTGACAGCTCCACTGCCTGTCCTGTGTTTGTGCCTCCCTTCAAGGGGGCATGTCAGTCCGTACTCCTTAGAAAATGTGCCCCTTTTTCTCCTGTCACTTTACCCTTTTAATGTTTTTTGTAATAGACAAGTAGATACTGTTGACACTGGAAATCCAATCAGCGCTAGCAGTTGTTTTTTTTTGAGCTTTCCTTTAATGCCCAGCTTTATATCAAAAGCTGGGAAAATAAAAGTCGACGTTAAAGTGTTGGTAAAACGCGAGGGTGGAGTAAAAATTACCTCCGCTTAATTGGGGCCTTAAAATTAAGATGAGTGGAACTGCAAAGATGGCAACGAGTCGCATGTGACGGAGATGCTCCAGTGATAAAGCCATCCCGTCCCAAAATTCCGGCAGCTTACATCGGCAGGCCTCCTTCCACGCAAAATGACATCGTTTGGGGTGGGAGGCAGAGGTAACCATCACTAGGCTGGGAGGTGGTGACAACCCGAGGCTGCAGGTCAATGAATGACTCAAGACCGACTTGGTGATAGCATCGCTTCAGGCCAAGACACCATGTTAAACGCTAGAAAATTATAAAAAATTAACCTATTAATAAGTTTTGGGGTGTTTATAACAAACACGGCACATTTTATTTAGTCTGATGGTGCAAAGGTGAGGAGGCAGGTTGGCGACTAGCGGTGAGCTTTGATGTCACTGCAATAATCGGGTGACAAAATCAGGCAGTTTCCTTCGCGGTCATAACTATCACTGGCGTTTATTTGATGGTGGTGGTAAAAAACACTTAATTACTTAAAATTCACCAAACCGGCACTTTTTCTTACTCTAAGTCTATGATTTTACGTTTAATTTGCTAAAACGAAACACTTGAAAGGGCAATAACTTCAAAAAAACAACTTCTTTGTTAGCGGAACATAAAAACGAATTAGTTTGACTGACAAAGCGACTGAAAGGTGTACAAAGCATTGTTTAAACTGCTTGAGTGACTGACCGGGCTTCTCAATTTGGACGGTTTTGGTCACCCCTTTGACATCGTGCTGATCGACTCCAGCCGGTGTACATCCAGCTCTGTTGCACCGTCTTTCAAAAGAGCGCGCCCTGCAGCGTCGTCAAGGATGGTTTAAGTGGTGCCGCTATGCAAGAGACAATCCTTCCTTTCGGGGCTGGGTGTCAAATCTAGAGATCAAAGAGGGAGGGAATCCGCCTTAAATGGTTAAAGTGGTAGAGCTCAATTCCTCATGCTAATTCAAGGGCACTAAAGGGAAAAAAATGAAATGAACTTGTGAGCTCACTTTCTGTGGGACACCCTCATAAACTTGACACCATATTCCAAGTGAATTCCTCCCCAGTAGGGGGCGTTTTTGGATAAACTCAAGCAACTTCTTTATCACCTTTCCTCTTGTTTCAAGGTTGATTGCAAACCCCTAAGGGGTGACTGCTGATGACCTAAGCGGATGAGTAAACACGAGAAGCACCGGAAATGGCGCAGAAAAGGAGACGGGGGTTGCGTAGTTAAAAGTGGAAGAAAACCCAGTTTTATGTTTACCAAGGTGAACTCTCCAGCTTGTACGGTCTTCCTCTCCAGTCACCTTTTATTTGCCCCATTCAAAAACGCAACACACTGTAGTCAGCTGTAAAAAACGTTTTTTTGGCAGTACCGAGCGGAGGCTTAACTTATTTTTTTCGTTTAGTTTACAGACCAAATCTAATAAATTATCATGTTTATTCGATTATTACGTTATTTAAATAAAGTGGCACAAATTTCGTTTTATTTTACTGTTGGAGAGGAAGAGATTTACACCGAAATCCATGGATTTACTGAAATTAACCGACTTGGGAGCGGGACCATCCAAGCATGCGAGTCTAGTGAAATAGTAGTACAGTATTCAAGTAATATATTAAAAACTGTCAAAAAACAAAATTGGTTTACTTTAAGGAAATTTAATTTGACATATAGTCCTGAGTCAAAAGCCTAGAGAAACAGGGGGAGGTGGATGTGCCACATAAAGTGAATTTTTATCAAAGGCCGCAATCTCTTGACAGCAAAATGATCCGTTCTCACAATCATATATCATTTTTGAACCTCATTCTGACCTTGAGAAATATCTATCGCATCAAATCAAGAGGTGTGAAATTATTTTTTCCACTTTCTTAATTAGTAAAAATTAAATTACTGCAGAATTTTCTTGCAGTAGTAGCCACCAGTACAATCAACTGTCTCCTTTTGGACAATGTAACACAAACGTATTGTGAGTAACACTGCTTCGTGAGGCAAAAAAATCAGGTTACTTTTTAAGTCACAATCCAGTTGGTGCCAAAAGCCATTCAATTCACGGAAGCTTAAAAGCTCCAAAGCCTATCAATTAGTTCTAAGTCAGGTTGACTACAATAACTAATTTATGTGGAGAAATGGTGCCAAACGATCCGACCACACTCAACTCTACACATTCTAGACACGTGTCACCTTTGTTCCGCAGCATTGGGCTAATTGTCCACTTGGTGGACAGCTATTCATTTCGCCTACACAATAAACCACAACTTGAGCACGTGTGTGGAAAAAAACTTCTTCAACAAATGTAACCAGGGCTAGTTAATTGAACAATACACCGCACCACTTCATACCGAACGCCTCAAAACTTGTCCAAGATAAGATTTTCGCTTTAGCCTTAAGGCACCATCCTCATAACTACTCTTGCACTGCTTCTAATGCTAACTATCACATTTGCCTGGCATTAACAATCACGTGTGAAATAGTTTGCAAACAAAAGGGACATTGAAAAAGGACTTGTTTACAGCAAGATTGCTTGCGCCTAGTGATATTTTATCATAATGGGAGTGAAAATGCCTCACTTTGAAAAATAATGATAGATTGTAGCAGGAGAATATTTAATGAAAAAGATTATTTGAGAAGCTTTTTGGAGTTAGTATATTCCCGTCAAAACAAATGAATTGCAGATTGTACTTTGGGCAGAGCATAAATTCATGTCTTAGATCTAAGTGTATTCTTTGAAATAGAGAATAATTTGGAACAAACCGATGCAATTGTAACACTTTGTTTATACAAATCTCGGTTTTGGTAACGGGCTATTTAAAGGCTCCACCAGTGTACCCCTGCCGAGCGGCTTGGACCCCTGGGCTATGCTAATAGCCCCAAGCCCTCCTGTAGGTCAGGTTAAAAACTGGATTAGTGATAAGGTAAACTTCAAGTTTGATTAAAAAACAACGTGTTTTGACCATAAAATAATGGTAGTGTGTAGTAGACAACTGAAACTTATCGCCTTCCACAAGGTCATATGGTGTTTGAAACACTGAAAAATGGTGGTAGACGATTGATTAAATAAGTATTTACAAAAACCTTCTCATTATCTCATTTGTGTTAGTGATTGTTTAACTTTGTAAACAAATTGGACTTAAAAGGGTCAAAATTTAGTTATGGACAACTGAGCAATTCACAAAATTAAAAAAATCCTCTTAGTTGGCTCTGTTTTACCCCCAGTAAACAGCTAATCGCAAGAGATCAACACAGCAAATCAACTCAAAAATCTTTAATTTACAAAAATTAAAATTTATGGACTTTAAATTAAATTAAGCGCAAGTTAGGATCGAAATCTTATTAGTGGATTTAAAATAAGAATTCCGTTTGGCAAGTCCAGTAAAAGAGTAAATGCTGATCACTGGAACAAGCAGACAAGTTGGGTGAGAGGACATATTTTATCGGGAAGTTTGGAATAAATAAAAGGGGTATAGATGTCACGGTTAGGCGTGTTCAAAGTGCGTCTCCCCCTCGGGGACCGACGGCGGCCAAACCCTCACGGGACTCATTTTTATTGAGCGCCTCTCGCCTAACGAGGTGCATTCAAACAAGCATTTTTTACAGCAACATCTCCTTTCATATAAATTTGTTTCTATTAGTTACACTTTTGGGACCTACTAAAAAGTGGAGAGCTCATCTTGTTGTGAAAAAAAATCTCATTAATGTGGCTATAACAGTCCTTCGAGATCAGACAGACTTCGGGTGAAATGCTATTTCAACGCCTTGAATAATTCATTTTCAAGTTGTACTGATGTAATTAAAGGCAGATTTGCATAACCGTTCCTCTCCTTAAATATTAAGGAGCATCCAAATGCTGACTTTGTTTTAACCCGAGTAATAGCTCCTCTAGGAAAAAGTGAGAATTGGCAGCTCAATTTATCAGAATAAGAAAACACGAATGCAGCGATGACAAGTACCCGGCTGAAATTAGTTTGTTCCTGTTCACTCTACTTATTTTAATCATTTTTTACTTACAAGGTGAGGAATGATTGTAAAAAGTGGGAATTTGTAAGACAGGTTTGTTTGACTCCACCTCTTAGCAGTTTGTTTGTTGCAGCGGCGGGGGGCTCTGATCATTCACTAGCTCCAATAATACCACACAATTGTAAATGACCTTCCTCTGCTCAGTCTTCTCGATCCAGGGGCCCATAATCTGTAGGTGGAAGAGAAGAAGAATAAAGGCATTTTAAATGTAGGGAAAGGTATTTTGAAGCTTTCGGATTTATCCTTTAGTATTATTTCCCTCTACAATCCAAATAACAGGTTAGTCGGCCGCAAGTGAGTAGCTTAATAAGTAGTATTTTCATAAGCCGCCGATCTTAATCGATAAGTAAGGAATTTAAAAGTATGCTCCAAAAAGTCTGGATGATTTTTGGCCCCTCTCTTTACTACCTCTCCCTCCCTTTGAACTTGTTTTGACTCCGGCTTGCTCCGATATGGTTCTTTCGAAGAGTCATTGATTTACCACGATCATGGGCGGAGAAATACGTCTTTAGAGAGTATAAAAAAGTTGAAAAATTAAACTGAAAGTTGAGCTAATTATGCATGAACACCCATAAACCTCGGCCTCACCGCATGCCACGGTTAACTGAAGATAATGCACTTCAAAGATTACCACAATCTTCTTTACTTCTCTCAAGCAAGCGGTGAGAATTTCGGCTTTCTGTCAACAGACTGACTGACTTAATGACTTGTGATAAAAAAATGCCTTTTTATTGTAAGGTTAAGCAAGGAGACTTTCTTCCAAAGCATGCACCGCCTCACTCCCACAAGACTCGACTTAATTTGTATATGCGGTGAGATGAGGTGAAAAGATTTGTAGTCGAGGATGAAGTTGGGAGATAATACTTTACTCCTCATTTTCCCTAATCACTCTTCTGCTTTTCCGGATACTATACATTTCCATTTTATGGGATCAAACATTCCCCTTGTGAGGTAAAAAAATAGTTTCGAGGTAAAATAAGGATATTTGCTTCAGATGAAAAAAAGGATTGCGGGTTCACAACAAGCTTGTGTCTAGTTTTAAACGAATGACAGACTAAAATAATAATGACTGGTTCAGGAAATAAGAGGAGCTCTCTTCCAGTTACTCAATTATTATAAAAAAAGAGCCTAAGTTTATTTGGTTACCTTATTTAATCAAGTCATCTTGACCTCAAAGACAAAATTTATTTTGCAGGGGGATTCTTTTGCGTCTGAAACAACAGAAAAAGTTACTTATCATCAAAAAAAACACAAGTTGGTAACAAAAACATAACGATTTAAAAAACCTGTGGTGCGATTTGGATTTCCTATTGAAGGTGCAGCTTTTATTTAATAAAATCCTCTCATGAAAATGGCACAAAGAGCATTAAAGTGGCTATCAGAACTACAACTAGAAAAGGGCCTCAGTAGTTAATAGGCATTCATGGAGGTCGCTCTGCTAACTCTTCTTTGTCTAGAGGTGAAGAGTGGAAGAGTAAGGTAAGTGGAGAGGTCATACCTGGATTCTCTATTGCGAGAGGTTTGACCTATAGACATGGGATTATCCCCTCTGTGTAAACAGCGTTGGTAAGGGGTGAGGGGCTTTAATGGTTTTTTGGCCTGTTAGGGAGTGTTCTGAAAAACCTGTTAAAAAGCAAGTTTATTCAATAAAATGCATAATGCGGGATAACTTTATAGAGATGCTTTAAATGTTCCTCACCTTCGCGATAAGTGATCCGAATGAATTGCACATTTGTACACAATCTGGATGTCTCTAACATTTGAAGTATATCCTCATCTTGCAATTCCAGTTACATTTCCTCGAGAACGTAAAATACTTTAATCTAATCTTTCCACAAGCTTGTCAAAGGTAGAACAAAAAAGACAAATAAAAAATATCAGGGTAAAGGTTCACGGACATTTACCATTTAGCAGTACAAGAAATTTACGCGTTTGGATTATAACTTGGCCAATATTGGGGATCTTCAGACTAATGGGATCTGCAAACCACCTGTTGAGAAACGCGTGGTTTGGGATCTCATGAGCCCACTTAAAGATTTAGTCGTACAAATAAATAAACAAATAAACGCGCTTTCAGAAATAATGGAATTTTTTAAGATTTCAGAATGCTCATTTGTACCAACAACAACAACAATCATTCCTTTACTTACTAATGCCTTCAGTAGTATATTTTAACCCAATTCATTTTTAAATTCACGGTTAAGATGGGCTTGCAAGTAAGGAGGAAACAGGAGACGAAATGCATCAAACATATATTCATCAACACAATAAAAACATGAGTATGAAACGGTGCACAAAAAGGAGAAAAAATCGTCTCGGTGATCGACAATGACTGAGTTGGGGACTAAAAATGAAGGTTGTACAAAAGGCGACAAGACGGGTCTAGAAAAACACAATTCATATTTATAAATTCTTTTTTTGGAGAAGGGCGTAATTCAACAAAACGAATATGTAAAAAACAACAATTGTCGTGCGAAAATTATCCACTGTAGTCGTCGTTCTAAAAATTAAGAGAAAGAGAAATTGGTTTTAATTTTGCGTTATAGAAATCGGCTAGTATATATCAAACGCTTGTTAAAAGCTAAGTTTTGTTTTTATACGTGTAACAATGAAGGAAAAATGCTAAAATGTTTTTAAGTTTGATGCAATTCAAGGTAAACCAGTCCCAAACTGGCAAATCAAGTTAGTCCTTTTTAAAAAATCGTTTTATAACATTTTAAAATACAGCCGTAATCGCTAAACATTGTAACTTATGGGCTTGTAGCCTTATATTATAATTACACAGGCAAATGGTACACCATATGACCCTTAAAATGATAACTTGAAGCAGTGGAGATCTAAAGTTGAAGAATCAAGAGAAATGCACCTATTTCCTCAAATTGAGAAAAAAGCTAAAACAAATAATTCAATTTACACATCTATAAACCAGATGGTGACTAATGCATTAAAATAGCATTTTAAAATGTCGAATATTTGATTGACGGAAAAAGTAATACTTTTAATTGCTCTGTAGAAACTAAACAATATTACTGTATTGCCTGTCTTCAAAAGTAAACGGCGTTGCGACTAAAACTGATCACAAATAGTCGGAGTTGTTTGCTAAATAAAGACAATTCAGTAAAACAATTACAACTTAGCCCCTACGTTGACTGCGTATATTAATCCTAAAATTCCTACTTTTAACCCCTTAGAATGTAAATATTCATAACTATTTGGAGTACTAAATGCTCAAATTTAGTAATTTAACATGTGAAAGACAATTAATGTCCAAAAATCCCCTTACATGCAAGCAAACGACAATATCCACGGTGATGTCAAAATTGGTAATTGTTTTTATTAAAATGCTTCATTCGTTGCAAAAATTTCGAGTTAATTACATTGAACTAAAATAGTACAGCACTCAAGTCAAGATGATGGATCAGTTCTTACTCCAAGTTTTTCATCTCACTTTATTCATTTAGGTGGGATTTTCTTTCAGTCAAATTCTTTCATGAAGAGATGCCTAGAACGAAATCTTTTGATATGGGTGAGTATTCAAAGAAAGCTGGATGAGGAATGTAAAAAATGGCCTCAGCACTGGTTACTGTTTTAGCCAATTCAAACCGATTTCCTAACTATACCTCAGCCTTAAGGATACCTGTGATACTGATTGTAGATGAAACACAGTGTTGAAAACTTGTCAACCCAGAGTTTAAGGTTTTTTGCAATGCTTAATGACTACTTACAAACAAACTGGCTCATGTCAGCACAATGAAGAGGTTCTTTGGTTGTCGATTCAAGCGTCGGTGGGCTTTCCGTTGTCCATGGTCGTATTTCGGATTCGCTAAGGAGGGGACCGATCATAAACAATGGTCAACTAGACAGGATGTGAAAAAATTCTTCTACACTTTTGTGGAAATAAAGTGCAGCGCTATTAGTTGCATGATTAACTTTGGAGAAGACAACAAAAGAAACAGATCTAAATGCACACTGGGTGTTGGAATCCCTGGAATTTTGCCCCATATTTTCAGGTCAACGAGCAAAGTATTGAGAATAAGCAGACCCAACGGAATCCAGCATTATCATTTATCATATTGCAGAAAGATCCACCGTTCATATCCAGTATTCATAAGATCTTGTTTATACCTATTTTTCTGTATTTTACAAGGACTAAACTCAAGGTTACTTTTCTATTCCTTGTGTTTTGACTGTGATCATTTGAAGCGTTCGCTGTCCATCATGCAGGTGTAGGCATTCTAGAACTCTGTAGTTAACTAATCGACGGCTTGAGGAGCAAGAGAGCGAGTTATTGCTTGCAATTTGGCTGTTAACTTGCGCAATGAGAATGTGGTAAAAAAGGAGCAAGAAGTGACTTGACTTAAATCTTACCAGTTTCCTTATCCAAAATGTGGTTCAAAATGCCAATATTATCATAGGCTTCTCATACTTTTTTTTAAAAAATCCTTTGCTAACAAAAACAGCTACATTTAAAACCACGTACACCGTTACGGTTTTAAGCACTTTTAGCGATAATCTTTTGCAATCCTGAGACTCGTTTACTTCATCCAAACTTCCAAAAGAAGTAGACGACGACTCTTATTTGTTATGTGATTCAATTAAGTGTCAAACAAAATACTTCATGAAAAATAAGGGTGTGATAAGCACAAAGTTTACAATCCATCCTTTAAAATTGTTGAAAATACAATTCGTGATAACAAAAGGGGTAAAAAGATGGAGAAACAGATGAAAATCAAATAACTAAAGAATCCTACCACCTTTCACTTTAAATCTAAAAGTTGAATTGCATAGTTTGTTTAATTAAGAGTAATCCACTTGCTTTTTAAATGCATGAGTGGAACTTTAAAAGTTAACAGGAAGGTGCCGAGATTAGTGCTCATGTTTTATCCTTGTCATTTCACTTTTTTATTCATTACTTCAGTGATTACCTTAAGAGGCTAGTTTTACCGCCAGACTTGCCATTCCAGGCGTTGAGGAAGAGACCACTGCACAAGTTCCTGGTTGAATACCAAGGAGGCGAGTCTACAGTCGCACAGTGATTCGTAGTACAGCACAACAATGGCTCATCTTGCGCCACTCTGGACTCTTTTTGCTGCCACAGAGTTGATAATTTTAACCACATGGAATCCTCTGATCTAAAAAAAGCGAATGAAGCTACTGCCAATTTTTGTTTTGCCGAGCTAATCGACCAATTTTGCGTTTTTGTAGTTAGAGCATTTTCCAGAGTTTCCTCAGTACCTTCCATGCGCCCATAAATGTTGAGTTAAACTAGACTTTTTTCCAAAGTTAATGTTTTTAATGGATAAGATCAACGTTGCTTAAACGTTCTTCTTTTTCATCTATAGCGGTGCATATTATGTAGGCAAAGAGAGTGGACAAAGTCTATTGGCCTCCCACTTTCTGACTCGTCCGCGCCATAACCTCTTTTGGGGTAAATTTGGGCATTCAAATAGTGCACTTAAGAAATGAGTTTAAAATCTCTTGCTTTTAATGAGGAGTCAGGTTACTTTGCTGATATTTCAATGAATAGTTCTGTCTAAAATGACAGGTTAGTTACTGAGAGAAAATCCACCTACCCTAGATAGCCGTATGTGGGAATCACGTCGGCATTTGGGATAGTTTAATCAAGCCATCAACGGATAAATGAACTTAATCACCGGAGTAATTGTTTACAATTTTGCTAATATATGCGGTAAATTGTGAGGAAGTTAATCCACTAGCTTTTTAAAAACACGCACTTATGACAGTAGAGTATCAGTCAAGTGGAAATAAAATTGGAAGGTAATTCAAGGAGATAACTTCCTCGCATGAACTCAGTTAAATTATCTTGCTCTTGTTTTGAAAGAAAACATTTTTCTTCAAATTTACCCTTCTTTAGTATTGCTTAGCTTTAACTAGAACAATAATTATATCATCTTAGTGCAGTCATAAATAAGATGTGAGAGATAAACCCTAATCGCTTTTTGATGAGGGAACGCTTGTCATTGTAGCGAGACTCTTGAATGAATTAGGTGAAGGTTTCAAAGACCGATGTACGTCTGTACGCCAGCGGCGGTCTATGCCATGGTGATTACATCCGCAGTCTTCCCTGTAATAACCCACCCAGCACGTGATACACCCGACTCTGGGCACCTAATCAACGCATAACCTGTCTCAAAATCGTGCAAGAGAATTATCCTTTTGGAATAATGGTAGAATTGGATAATTTACAAACGGTTGCAATTCCGAAGAGTTGGCGCATGACGGAAACCAGAACAGCGTTTTATTTTTGACAAACATAGGAAAAATGAACTCTTCAAGATAGTTTATCTATACGGGTAAATTGCTTACGCACCAAAGTTCATGCATACATGCGGAAACAGAGGACTGCATCCGCTCCTAGAAATTGCCTCTTTACTTCTGTAAACTCAAAAGCCCTGGCCCAGAAGCCAACCCATCCGGCGGTGGTGCAATGATAGCGCACTAACTTGGCCCATTAACAAAACCGAGAGTTAAACAAACAATTAACCCATTATACGACGCTCTCGGAGAAAACTTTGTCAATTTATGTCGCTTGTCAGTCGGATAAAGGCTAGCTTCAATAGTACAGGAATTAAAGGGCGTTTGTAAAAATTTCGGCATTGACATTAATCTGCAAATAGTTGGCGAAGCAAGAGGAAAAAAGTAAGATGCATATTTCTAAAACGAAGGCATTCTAATTACCTTCTTCGCGTTAAGTCCATATCAGGCTTATATTTTGAGCATTCATTCTGCTTTAAGTTTTACCGTTTTGTAAAGAAAAATTGGCCTTATTTTTCAGCTATAAGTAAAAATAGGACCTTAAAAAGGCTAATTACTGCGATTTCAGCTAGTTTAATATTTGACACCTAAAGGGACTGCTTACTCAGAGTTGCCTTGGAATGCCCCCCGAAGCGTGAGTTAAATATTTATGCCTCAAATTGGATTTTTGCAATCGGTAGCGGGGGCGCGGTTCAACAGAGAGTTTTCGCCTCCCAGAAGGAAAATTAATTAGCATGGCTTTCAATAGGGGCACTTGGGGCATTTTTGTAAGCAAAAAAAGTAGATTTTTATCATAAAATATTCTACAAAAAAAGCAGAATGCAACCCTAAACTCTACTAGAACTCGAATTTAATATTGACAGGGCTTTTATAATGATACTAAAACTCAACTATAAATGCAAAATCTCGAGAATTTTAGCCGTGTAATGATTGGTGGTAGCTATAAAAACGCGCAGGCACTTGCGTCTCTGTAGGTAATCTCCAAATAATTTTAAGCAAAGGTTTTTGAAATTGACTATAGCGTTTTATATTTTCGCCAGGGTTAAGTGGAAACCCAGATTTGAATCTAGAATTCATTTTAAAAACAGGAATTTTATTTTTATGGATATCGTTGCTAATAAAGGCTATTAAAATGTTTGGGTGTTTTTGGGAATGAAGTGGATAAGTAATTTTAAGTTAGCTCTGATCAATACTAGAAAGTTTAAGTTGCAAAAGGGAAACATATTTGCATTCATCCAAACAAGGATTCTCAACCCACCAAAACTTCATTTTATACACACCTTCGATCTCTTTAGAATGGAAAATCTAAAATTATGGTAGTATTTAAGCGAAGTTAAATTACGAAAATTGTAATTTATTTTCAGATGAATTGGTAACATTAATCAACACATTGTTGCCTCCTTCCATCAAACATTAAGGATTGCATAAATTAAACCCACTTAAAAGGGGTGAGGATTAATTTTGGTAAAAATAAGTTACTACTTTTTACCTGAAATACAAGCACATGTGTTTGAAGGTTATATTTTGCCATTTGAATCCTGCCATATATATCGTAATGTCGCCACATTGCATTCAGGACACTTGACATAACTGACTCAGTCATATTATTTATTTTACTGTGACTTAGTCAAAACTAGTTAAAAAACATAGCATCTTGTATTACAATTTGTTACACTTTATAATATGGCGGAGCTCTAGGTTTCGTAAAGTGGCAACAAACTAAAATGCCTATTTTTTAAAAAATGTTTTAAAAAATTTATGAGGGCTTGAGCATTTTAAAATAAAATTACAAGGCATCATCTTCACTTTTGCCGGACTTCAGCGATCCCTTGAGTTCACGATTTTCATTCATCATTGTTTCATTGGGAGGAGCTTCGTAATTTACTGAAGCAGGATCGGAACCCCTTGAGAATAAGGAAAACTGGTCAAAAATGTCCCTTAGAAGGCCCGTTTCCCCGCTTTGTTTGGCTTTCAAACCTAAAAGGAGTGCCTTGTTAGCAAAAGCGGGTCATTTTTTAAAAAAAACTTTTGAGATATTTAATGACATGGCCGCAAGAATTCTATTTTGACCAAGTTATTGAGCGCAATAAAGAGAATGTCCACCTTTGTGAGGTTGCTTTGAGAACAAACTATCCAGCGCATTATGTGCCTAATGTAACAAGCCTACTTGACACAAATTTTCATACCTTCTTGATTAATTATAATTAGACCGTAAAAGGTGTTAAACTGGCACCTATGCTAGCACTTAAAGAAAAAAGCACAATTAAATTTGGAAAAAGATGTACACTACATTAAATAAGCCTGTTCTTGGATATACTCGTCTCTCTGTCAACATGCTTTACCTTGCTCTCTGTAATTTACTTTTCACTCAGTGCCCTTAGTAAATGCCACCTGTATGTGACGTGAAGCAATCCCGTCTGCATTACGAACCATATTTAACTCAGTTCCAACATTTAGAAAATGCCACCTGGAGAGTTCTTTAACAATTTGATTCCTTAGAGAAAACTATTATAAGATAGGCGCTTTACATTCAGGAAGATTCTCTATTTATTCATTAGAATAAAGAAATGGGCATCGTCAAGAACAACTTTTAGCCACATTGAATGTAGATACTAAAACGAATCATTAAAAAGTGTGCCAATTGAGTCTTCTATGCGCTGACAGCTGAGATACTGTAAGCTATATCGCCTTCCATTTCTGCTTCACTTAGTTCACGGGTTAGGAAATAACATTATATGCTTACTGGTTAACTTGAGATGATAAATGGGACTTTATTATTGCTTTTCTTGCTTAAAATCAAATACATAGACCTGAGGTCTATCCACTTGATAAAGGAAAAGGAAAACCACTTTGGAAATGCCTGGGATTGGTCAACCAGTTTGAAGGAAGTCTTTTCTTAAAAATTCTTACTAGTGAAAAGATGAAAGATGAAAAGGATGAAAGAGAAAGAAATTCCCCCCCCCCCCCCTACTCACATCCTCCTATTCTCCTCACATTTCTTTAAGTAATAATTCTCAACGTTATTTGGAATTACACAAGCACATAAAGCCGTAAAAGAAAACTGAGACAGAAGTAAAGTTTAGTATAATTTTACACTTCTAGAGATTAATTATAATGTAAATTCAAGTCAAATTAATGAAATAATTAAACATGGATGATTTATCATAATGGAGATCTTTTCAATGAATAAAACATTTGGAGAATTGTACGTAAGACGTCCTAAAAATTCATAATTAAAAGCTAAAACAATGTTTTAAGCTGCACTTATTCTGCCCCAAAGTGTATAAAATGGTTTTTCGAGCATTTAGGCGATATTTAAACCTCAACTTACCAGCCGACGGCATCGCGAAATGATCAGTGTTGGGAGAAGTCATGTCTCCATTTTCCAAGGAAATAGGAGGACGTAAAATAGGCGATTTTGGTGACGGACTTCTACTCTCACTAGCCCAGGTGGCAAAAGAACCACCCAGAACAGGATACCGCCAACGTTGTCGCCTTAAAGAAGCCTCCTTCTCGAGCCCACTCGCCACGCCCTTTTCGTTCAGGGACGGGGTCATGCATGCCTCCAGTGGTGGCAAAGTTGCTACTCCCTTTTGAACCTCCTCCATCAGGGGTAAATACCTATTTTTCACCTCGTATTCTGCTTGCACTAGGAGGAGAGCACTAATCGGTTAAATGACAGCCCTTCTCACTTAGCTTTTTTGTCGCTCATGCCATCAAGTAGGATCTTCCAGACATGTGCACGTTCAAAGTGTAGGAAGCAACCATCTTTTCTTTTTTAATGTAACGTTTCTTAAAAAAACCTGCTTCAAATATTGAAAGTGTCAAAGAGTACCTATCGAAATTTCAGTTTGACCTTCCTTATTAACTCAGTCATTGTAAAGGCGCATTGTCACAATGCCTTCAAAGCCAAATTAAACACTTTAAAATAAAGTTCTATGAAGCTGACTAAATTTTTGCAATAAAATATGATCTTCTTGGCCAAAATATCATAACGGCTAATCAGACTTAAAAAAGGGGCTCATTTATATTTGGTAATGATTGCACGGAATTCGAAACGTCACATTATAAACACTAAACCTCCACATTCAAAACTGCATCGAAAGTGGACCAAAGTATAACGTTAAATAAGTTGTATTAAGCACCAAATATAACTTTTAGCGACGCTTGCGTTTGTAGACTCAAAAAAACGCTCTAAATTACCTAATATATTGTATCGTTTTAAAGCAATATTGACCTAAGAAGTCACAATCTCGAAATTAAACTTCAGTTGTCGAAAAGGTACATCACCATTACACCGGTCTGCATTAAGTCCACTTGGGTTATCATAGTAAATCAGCAAAAACTTCCACTTAATTTAGGATAATATGCTTTGAATTTCCATGACTAAGGAAGTTATATCGCTATTTAATATTAATAAAGCTGTTTCAGTTATCGTCACAGAGCCGTAGAGGACAAAAGCAACTGCGTCAAATTTTCATGTGACACTGGTAAGGGACACCTTTTAACTCCTGTTCTCGAAAAGATTGGTTATTGAAAAAGGCACTAGCTAAAATCATTTTCTGCAAAGCTAGCTGAAATGATATAAAGTGCAGTATTGTAGTAATCATTCAGAATTTATTGTGAACATTTTACAAAATTATGCATAAGTTAATGGCATAACCCTTGATTGCGCTTAAAAAACTATGCCAAAACTAGGCTCAAAAACGATTATATTGTAAAAGGGTAATATAATACCGTGGGCTTGAAAATATACCTTTTCTATGAATATCTTAAAGTTAGGAAAATAAATTCGCAAAGTCTATTCAACTTAAGGTTTCAAATCTAGTTTACTTGGTAATCACTTCTCTAGTAAACCACCAAGTATAGAACAGACAAAATTAGGAAATCCTTTTTGCTAGTCCTGGGACGCATTTTCAAGTGTTAATAGCCGTCATGACCAATTCTTGCATTACTTCCATCAAAGCATCAAACGTCCGGGTGACTTTAAAACAAGGGAAAATTGCCTTGCCATAGGTGGCATAAAATGTCAGCCAACTTCCTAATGGAAAAGCTTTACTGAAGTACAATAACTCGAGGGGTTGATTTAGTTAGTTATTTAACTCGTAAAATTGGATGAGCAAGCTACGCCTATTTGTAGGCGGACGCATTTCATTAAATAATATTTCAGTCAATCTGAAGGATTTTTTGTCACAATGCGGCAAAAAATACTTTAACTTTAGGAAAAAGATGAGGCAAATAAACATGCCACTGTAAGATTTTGTGTGTCCTAGAAGTAGTAACACAGGTGACGAGGTCTGTTTTCACTTGTTTTCCACCTTGTCAGTTGTCAAGCAGGCCTAATGCAAATCTGCGTATCAAAGATTATATTCACTTCATATTTGGCTGTTAACGAATAAATCGTCTAGCCGTTTATCTCTTTAACTATTTTTTTCCGAAATTTTCTTCCAAATTCTTATTTTAAAACTTTTAAAAAGGGCTGCCATTATTGAACATGGAGTCACAGTTTGACAACACAAGTAGCACCAATAACTTGAAAAATTTTTTTCTGGTAGATAAAAACAAATACTTTGTAAAAACTTCTAACTTGGTGTAAAATTGTTGTCTAATCAAATCTACCTGATATTTTGAAACAGGTCGAGAGGGCATGGGAACTATCTATGCAACCTTGGAAAAAAAAATTGTTGGTTTAATAATACTGAAGCCCTCATTTAAAATTTTCATATTAAAATATGAATAAGTTTTGTTGATCGGTAAACTGCCAACTAACCAAATCCAGATCTAATGTATGATGTCTAGCTGCGAATGCTTTGCCAAATCTTAAATCAAACATTTGTGAAACAGTACTCTTAAATAATCTGAAAAATTTTGATTGCATAAACAGCTTAAAAGGAAGAATTTCGACCTGCCTCGTGAATGCATTATCAAATTCAAGTTGGCGAGCACAGCATAAAGGGAGTTCACGTTAGCTTCATTTGTCTTCAGAACCAACGATTGCTGAAGTGAAAAAAGACTAAGGAATGTAAGTGACTCATTCTTAAAGCAAAATTGGATCGAATATATAAAAAGAGGAGGAAAATAGTGACATGGTTCGTGAATTCGGAACCAAATCAGCCACAATGTGGATCTTTGCTATGACATTACTTTCAAGAACTAAAAAAATGTTTTTTGCGATGTCGGCATTCCGAGTCTTACACGAAACGAGTGCCGAGGCTTGGCCCGAAATGATATGCTGACGTCATTTGAGGACTTGTAAGTGCTGTAGTCGATGCGAGAAAGAATCAAAGCCTCTTCGCTAGATATTTCGGCAATCAGAGTCACCGGAAGCAGAGTCTACAAATCAAAAATGGAAGCACGCGTAGAATCTCCCTTGGTTTGTCGATCAAAAGCTTCATAATGTAAGTGTTCATTCTCCACATTAGCAGCCAAAAGTGATGGACCAAATCAGCAAATCGGATGACAAGAGTTAACACAATGATTGTGGATTACTTTCTCACGGTTTTTTTTGAGCAGGAGTGGGTCAAAAACCGAGCTCGGAAAAAAATCACTTATGTAAAACACCTACCAATTGTTGCACTTTGGAATACTTTATATACGTTAAATAGCAAGGCAAATGAAAGGAGGCATAGGTTTTACTTATGCTCATATTTACTGTACAGCTCTGCCACTTCTGGAGCTACACTAATTAAAAAGGAAATTAGCGAATCTGGATTGCAATCAGGACAACAGATGTTAATAAAATTGCCACTGCACAACTCACTAGTTGACTGGGATGGCTATTGACATGGCCTCAACAGTAAGGATTTACTGTGCCAAGGCAGCTTTGCTTCAACAAATAATTCCAGCAATTACTGGAATGGCTTCTCCTCCCTTCAAATATTGACCTCAAATTCTGAATTATTTATCCTTGACAAACTGGAGTGCCTGAGTTTCTTCCAACTGAGCAATTCATTTTAAATTTAATTTTGGGATGTTCCATTAGTGTTTAAGTGAATTTTGTCATAAACTCAACGAAATTTTGGAAAACACCCTTTTTTTGGAGTTCGTCAAGCGGAAAATCGGTCACTGATTAAGTGTCCAGTCGGAATCATTCATGTTTTTTAGCTTATCTGTAACGTACTTTAGGCGCCCTTTGCAGGGAAAACGAATAAAACGTGGTTTTCCTGCAATAAATAAAATAGCCTCATCACCGAATTTGATTTTTATGTTGTGGGTATTTAGTGATGTAACCTTGCCATGAATGTGGGTGATTCACAGACAAGGGTATAGATACTAGGGCTTCTCGTAGAAAATTTGAAAACACTAAAAAAAATCAAAAATCATCTAAGAATTGATATGTGACGCACCCATTAATGGGTGGGACTCTGTTATCCTATGTGTGGGCGTACCCTTTTACCTGTACCATGGCGTGTCAGATATCAGTCTAGGGCTACGCTAGCGGCTGGAATTACATATCCTCAAGCTCACCAACAGCCGTCAGCGACTGAAATTTTTCAAGTTTCTAAGCAAGCACTTAGAGAAATATTGTTTTAAGAAACGTCTGAACTCCGTTTCTGACTGATTACAATGCCAGAAATACTAACGCCAGTACCGGAAATCTGTCAAATACCAAATGCGTCCCCTTATTTCGCTTATTACCTATTGACAGCGGATGCTAAAGATGATCAACCGTTAAATGCTTAAACAAACGTCATTGAGCTAAAATTTATTAAAAGACTGAGGTTAGTATTAAAAAAGTCGAAAATTCGACCATTGACTTGAACGAATGTTATGTTATACTTGTCTTAAGCAAAACCCGGCTCATTGCAAAACTTTTTTAACAAAATCACTGCTTCCTACCATGAGCGTCTGTCGAGCCACAAAGCATCCATTGACACTTCCAAAGATAGTGATCATGGTGCGAGCTTCAGGACGTTGGGAGAGGCTGATAGAGGAGGTAGGCAAACTCGGAGTGGGACACAGTCGTGGAGCGTAGAATCCACTTCGGCGTGGGGATCTCGAGAGGGGACTGGGGCAGGGTGAGATGGTGGTGATGGAGGAAGTGATGGTGTTAGTGAAAGGACTCTCTTGTGGAAACCAAACCCAGGCTCCAGTTGACTCGTGGATAACTTCAACCAGGCTGCGTGGAGCCATATGATTCTGCATAATGAATTGGTGCTTGGGCTCGACGTCTAGGGTCATCCAAACGTTTGTGTGCTCCTAAGAAAAAAAAGGCCCGGTCTTCAAAGTGCGAATAGCAAATATCTGTTTTTTTCACAGCCCTCTAGTCTCTCTGAAAAAAGAATAGACAAGTATTGACCCCAAAGCTGACCATAGAGTGCCCTTAAAAATGACGCTTCAGTGGTAGTATCACATCGTGAAAAAAGCTCAAACACCGTTATCCAAGATGGCAATGGCAGCGCAAACCTTAGGCATAAAAGAGTTTATGAAAATCTAAAGAAGGTTGTAGACGGTGGACTGATCGAATTAAACTGGTAACTCCATCTGTGGTCATTCCTGCCCCAACCCTCATTATTCATTCACTACGTGGAACGATTGACCCTAGGCCTTTGGTCGACACAACCAAACCAAGTGTACAAAAGGTTAATCTTCTAAAAGTACCGCAAACAGAGGTGCTTACGAAAATTTGTATAGTTGAAGGGTGCCAGGACAGTTTTTCACTCTAGACACAGGCGGAAAGGTTTAACACTCTACTACATTGAATAAGTTTTTTTTAACAAGGCCAGAATTTCCTAAAATCGCACCTTAATATGTGATATAAACATTGGTAAAGTTTTATTTTGCCGTAGATTTAAAACAAGAACTAGAACAAAGGATCTAAGCCAAGAATTTTGTCTGCAGACGACGATATATCGTAAAACAAATGTGGATTCACTCAGGTCAAGTTTTTCTTTTATGGCGCCAACAACAATGGAAATACTAGTTTTGCGTTCCAGGCAAACTGCGCATGAGATCTGCAGAAGAATCAAATAGGTAGAATCGCTAAGACCATTCTGATTTCCTAGCTCATACTTCTTTCTGAACTATCGTTAATATTGCGCAAGCTGGATTAGGAGGCAGGACTGCGATCTAAACCTTGTCACTAGGGCCTTTGCCAGCATTGAGTTGAACGTGCCCTACCAATTAACTGTAGGAAGAATAGGTTAATTATTTTCTAGTTTCAATGCCACAAATTTTATTTATTCGTGTAGTCAGCGCCTCTGGACCGATTATATAGAAGACAGCTAAATATGTAAACAAAATAGGTTGTTTGATGTTTACCAAAATATGATCTTGCAGGGGTGTGGCGTCCACCCGATAACGTCAATTTAATTACTTGCAATGCTCTGTCAACATGTCAGGCAGTTAATTGTCAAAATACGTGCACTTTACTTGATTATTTAGTCAAATTACATCCTTATCAAAGAGAAAAACACCTCAAGTAGTATTTTGGAAAAACAGCAGAACGAAAAAGTATCATTTTCTATTTTCAAGGATGTGAAATAACCAAGGTAGATGTGTCAGCACTAGTTCTTCATCTCGTGTCTCCTTAAAGACATCTATTTTGGCTAAGGCCGTTCACTATTTATTTTATTTGAAAATGCTGGTTTTCTAAAGCATCTTTCCTTGAGCATTTCATGTTTTCCACCGATTACTAGGAGTAGAAAGCCCAAAATATAAGACCGCAATTGATGGTTAAAGATGCTCACACGTGTACTAATTGATGAACGATTTTGATATAATTTTGAGCCTGAGATGGTACACTATGCAAAAAGCATGCTTGTCGCACACTCGATATCATCAGAAATGCATTCTAGATTTTTGACCGGATAATCAAAGAGTATTCCCTATGTTCACTCCATTTGTCAATTTACAAAATGAAGGTTTTTACGTCAAATGTTTTATTTCACTTTCCTGACGCTTTAAATCATGTCTTCTTGGCGAGGGTTTAACTAATTCGTGGAAATGACTATCTGAGTCCGTCAACAATTTTTCTTAAAACACTCACTGCCGATTGCAAGACAGTTATTTTCATACTGGTCGAATCTGCCACTGAATCACTCTTTAGTCCATTTTCGATGGGTCATAGTGAGTAAATGATGCGATTCATTATTGAGGATAGCCATTAAATTAAAGCAAATTGCACTGTTAAGTTGATAGCTATATTTGCTTTGATGGCGGGTCATTTAGGCGTAAAAAGACCAATGGCAATGAAAGCATGGGTTACGACACTTTTTTGTTTCTTACTTTGTTTAACTGGACGGCCTAATTATTTGCAACATTGAATGAAACACTGGCAGCAGGTAGTAACTTGGGGAAATTGATATATAAAGCAATTAATTAATGTCTTGAATGGCTGTTTCTTCATTACGTAGACACTTTTTTGCACTTAAGCACAGTCAAAGCTTTAAAATTGTCGTTATCACATCACCCTGTAAGTCTTCAGTTGTGCCTTTGATAATTACGTGTCTTATTCGAGCCGTGAAATTTCATACAAATCAACATTTCAATAGTGCTACAATGATTGAAGTGCATTTTACTCACCTAATTGAAAAAGGAATGCCATATTTCCAAACAACGTATGTTCTCCTAAGTGATAACTTGAAAAAGATAAATAGTAATATTTCGAAATGATTTCGTCCAATATGGCCAGAAGAAGTCAGATTGATGTAGGTGGGTTGCTCAAGGTGGAATAATGAATGGGATTTGACGTGCCGGGGGACTGACGCATAGCCTGCTTTATATACTTTTTACGTCTAAATCCAACAGTTAAGATAGCTGCAACGTCTATTCATTTATCTCGTCCGCGCTCTTTGTTTTAAATGGTTTAATGTACTTTAAACACCATATAATTTGATTTTTTGGAATAGATCTATCCCTTTTAAATGCAGAAAATCAGCCTAAATTTCAAGTGTGCCTAATTAGCGATAAAAATTCCGACAGAATGGAGCTAACTTGTTGTGTATTAGCTAGTCATGATCATGTGTCATCATACACTTTGTTAGTTGATGCATTGCTCTGTCGGCTCTAAGAGGGAACTCAGGCCTCAAATCCGGCGTAAACTTGTTTTGCAATAAGGATTAATACCACTACAGGTTAATAAATTTATCGAAACGAATGGTTATTACTGACCTTACAAGGTTTCATAAACAAAACAGGGGTAAATCTTAAGGTAATGAGACGTTTCGAGAGCTTTAAGGTTGTATCATAACTACGATTGCCAGAGGAATAAAACTCCAAGTGTTTGTTTTGAGTGGTTATGACCCAAAACGCTGTCTTGATTTAATGTAACTTGAAGGCAATTTTATTTTCTTGTCATATTTTTCGAATTCTGTAGTACCAAAAAACGACTTAAAGTGACTTGTTACAGTTAAAAAGAAATGGGATTTACCAGCAAATCGCAGGTCATTGAAAAAGTTCGTACAGTTTTTAACGAAACTCGCTACAATGACTTAGCGCGACTGGGGAGAGACTTGTTTGTTGGCATCCATTTGAAGATGTGGATGGTCACACGTTAGTCTATTGAGATGGTACTCCTCATTGTGCTCTTTATTATTCTCTTCGCATATCTACCTTAAGAACCGCATTTAGAGAATGTGAATGACAAAACATACCACAGAGAAATGATTTAAATGGTGTGATCCCTTAAGACTCACTTAGTAGAAGATGAAGTAAATTCGAGTAAGCTCTTTTTCTTCTTGTCCAGAATACAAAAAAATTACGCATCCGAACCCACACCCTCTATTAACTTGAAGATTAACGTATCAGTGACAACCACCAGTCATGCCTCATGGGACTGCTAAAAGAAATCACGTACACATACATTTAGCGTGAAGACAAAGCCCTCACAATTATTAAATAAATTGACACCACGTGCAATGGCAGATGACAATGCGCCCTAGAGCCTAGCAGTGCCTTTTTGCCTCTTATGCACTTTTTAAAACCAACCTCCAATGTGAAGTGGCTTTTACATCTCAAAGTTAAGAGACTAATCACAAAACAGTGACAATAATCTTCTATAAAGTTTGAAAAGACGGATAATCGGGGATAAAATGTTTTTTATTTGGTTTCCCAGCAAGCGAGTTTTTACTTACAATTTTTAAGTACCGCTTATATTTAAATGCAAACTTTCCATCTCCTTGAAAAATGAATAACGAATAGCAGAACCTTTTATCAATTAGAAATTGTATTTATGGCCTGTCACAACACAGAAACTAGTACGATTCCCTGCAAAAGTTCAGTGGCACTTTACATTCATAGTTGAACTCTGTGATTCTTCAGAAGCTGGTCTAAAAATCACTACAAGCACTTACAGGGTCGAGAATCAACGCTATTATTTAACAAAACCAGCCTTATCAGTTCTAAGTGACAACTAACTTCAACTTTACCTCTGGGCTTCTATTTTATCGCTTCCAGGCCAAAAAGAGAAGGACAGTGGAAATTATTAAAACTGGAGCCATTTTCACAAGCGAAACAATCATTGTTCACTTGAGATTTCGCTGATTTGCTTTCTTATTTTGCCTTCACAAGCTAGCGTCATTTAAAATTTTTGAATAAATATCTCATTGATATTCCGTAAGATTTTTCCACACACTCGTAATCGAAAATGGGAATGCTATTTAAGTGCCCACAAATTTAAAATTTGTAAGAATTGTAGTTTTCGAGTTCCTTTTTTTTGAATAGAGATACAAAATGGCACTATCATTGTCATTTAAGTATGCACGAATTAACACTTTCATCAGCCAGTTATTAATTCCGATTATTAATTGATTTTTAACAGTAGATATTTAATTATCACATCCAAAGTTTCCTATTATCCTCACTTAATATCAACTTTTATTTCACTCTTCTTCCAACTTAATACAAGTAGACAATGTGTCAGGGAGCTGAAATACCTTTTAAGTAGCATTCTTTACGGAAAAAAGTCAACTAGGTAAACTCACAGCCATCCTTCCAAAGTGGTGTTCGAGTAGCGTTTTAGTAGCTTCAATTACGTGTTGGGCGAAGAGTGCGAGCCCACGTACGCTAACAACAATGGTGCTGCTGGAGGCGAGGTACTTGGCGTGGGGGTGGTGGCGAAAAGTCAAGTCTGCCAAAGGGAAGGCGAAGTAGTGACGGTAGGTCACCTCGACAGAGAACTTGGCCTCAAGGTGCTGCACTATGTAGGAGGTGCGGTAAAGGGTCAACGCGTGTGGTGACGAGTTCTGGATGGTGAAGATGTAGACCAGTGGAAGCATTTGCTGGAACCAGGGAAAGAATAAAAGGAGGTCTGTGTTAACGTCCCTTCTCTGGGGCCCTTTCAAAGTTACGTTTCAGATGTTTGTGGCTCTACTCCATCTTCTGCCTTCCTGTGCCTTAAATTTATAATAATTTAAGTTGAAGGTAAAGGTGACTGCCAAGCTTAGCGTAGTTTATGTCAAAGAGGAAAAGCCTTTTGCTGCATGCTGATTACTGTGGGTAGAAGACGTGCTGCAAGCCCAAATTCCTATTAACTGAGATAAAGCCTTAAACCGTAGAGGCGGGTCAAGACGGCCTGCAGACTTTGCTATCAAATCACGAGAAGTGCCAAAAAAACCTTGATGCCAGTTGAAGTCTGCATCTCTATTCATGCCATTTTATGGTCAATAAGGTATGTACCACCGGGTTGTCACATAAGTAAATAATTAACGTTTTGCATTTTTGCAGCTTCGGAAAAGTTGTCACGTTTGCAAATACAGGAGGTATTTTCATTTACCAACTAATTTGTAACTATATAGTGGGGAAGATTGCAAAAGCTGCCTACAAATAGCATCACTATTAGCGCTCTGTTATTCATTTTTGAATTGAAAAGCAGTGTATAGAGGGAAGACCAAAGATGTTACTTTTGCTGTTGTCGTTGAGTTCGAAATTGGTCGTTTTAGTCGGGTAAATGCAGAATACCAATCAGTGTAAAGAAAATTTGTGCACTTGCAAAAAACCCCCACAATTTTTTGTTTGTCAGAAAAGTTTTGGAGTTACAAAATCCCCATTTGTAATTGCCTTTGGGTTTTGAACTCTCCCCAATGGCGTAAGGGATGTGAAACTCCCCGAATTTCGAGGTGAAAGCAACCAAAACTACCCTGACTGGCACGGAATTCTCGGAATCAGTTTGGTGGGATCGGCAGGATTATAATTAAAGTGTTTACTGCAAATTCTAATCCAAGTATCTCATCAATTCAAATCTCTATTCACGACAGCCTTGATTTTTTTAATCCTGTCAATGATGTGTAAAAAATATTGATCAGCTTAACAAGACCGTAAAGAATGGCTATAATGCATTTATGATCAGAAAACGAAATCATTTATTAAACACTAATTGGCTGTGCAGATATTCAAAACCGTTACAGTGAATATCCAAAAATCAGAAGTTACTTCACCACCATCAGTATAGTCTAGCAAGCAAAAAACAATTTTAACTAAATGTGACAATCAAGAATGCTGAGGATGATCAAAGAAAGGAGGTAAGGGAAAATTTTCCATAACTGGTGGCAAAAAACTCTTCAGACGTCCTTAGATTTTCTTGTTCAAAAGTATATTGTGAATACTTTGATTTGCATCTCCTTCAAATGAATACAAAACTCTTAAATTACGTCCAAAAGGTGACAACTTTTTTCCTGCAAATTCCATGCTCAGGTGCGTGGAAGCACAAACTCGTCGCTGTCAACATGAGTGCTCGGTATAGTGAGTTTAAACTTTTGATAGCAGCCCTTGTGCGACTTGGTAAGCCATAAAACAATCAAATTTAAGTGATAGTTACTAAGTGCTTCACACGTTTATTGGACGTCTACAATCACGAAGATGGAAGCGAGAAGTAAAATCTGACCTAGCGGCTGATAATCTCCACATTTAATCCTCTTTTGTAAAGAACGGGACACCACTCCTTTTCTTCACCAAAAAGGACTAATTTTAGAGTAGATTAGTTCAAACATGATATAATTTTGTTCATACCGGAGTAGTGTCCTAGAAGTAACTGGGATTTGTTTAATAAGACATAAATATTGGGCCCTACTTTTAACCAAATAAGTAACATATGCGCTGGGAAGAATGCAGACTAAAGCTCCCCTCATTGAATTTGGGCTTGCAAATTGCCTCATTTTACTTCTTAAATTTACACTCCCTTTTTTGCTTTGCCAAGAAATATGAGTGGTGAGCAAACTTTCCCCGCTGCACTATATTGTTTAGGCTTTACAAGGACTTTAGGTGAGGCATCAAATGCAATTGAAGAGTGACTGAATGATGGGCAAAATCCAAACGAATCGCTGTCACCGCAATTAAGGTACCTTCCTGCTATGACAGAAGTTCATCATATCATATTCGCTCTTGTGCCCTATAAAAGAAATCGTGATTTAAATGTGGTTAAAAAATATCTGTCATTAGAATTCAACCATATTGTCTAAAAATGGGACTTAAAGCTTACTTTCGATTTTAAAAAATTGAAAATATTGTTGACACCAATTTTTATGGTGACTTTAACTTTGTTTTAATGCGCGTTTAGCTACATAGAAATTACAATCTCGATGACTTGTACTTCCACTTGGCGATACGAACCTTCAGCATACTTCCAGTGCCTTTTCCAAAGAAGTGCCACAAGGTGCTACAAGCCTCTCTATCATTTCAAATTGTTTTAAAATAAATACTGCATTTTTGTGCTACTAAACAGTCATACTTTGTGCTACTTTTAATCTGACTGGCTTTGCCAAACCGTATTTTATCGCTTTCACAAAAAAATGGAAGAAAGCAAGTCACTGAGCTTCACCCCTCCTTGACGTTTTGGTATAGTGATCTACTGAACCGACATTTTATTTGTCCTTCAAATAAGGTAAGGCTGTGAAAAAAACAAGTTCTGCCCAACCAAATCGTATCCTACTCACACTAGATTTAATTGAAATCCAAACCACTTTCCACATTGTTAAAAAGCAGTCTTGAAGCCTAGTAACTGTTTAGGCTGATGAAAAACTAAATTTGACCCACTCGAATACGCTTTCTGGCTCTCTCCACATCTGCAGACTGGCCGGAAATGGAGACCTGATTACTCTTCTCCACCACATTGGGTGCACGATTGGAGTCGGGAAAGTGGATGTGACACTGCGTCTCCAGCATCATTGCCTTTACACAATGTCCACCCTTCCCAATCAAATGGCTGTGCTCGGTGTGTGCCACATCCAGCTTCATTGTCACTCGATCCTCAATAGCCACTGCCGGACACGTTAGACCTGTTGTCACCGCCTCTCCCATCAGCACCGGCTCTGTTGCCTCGTTGATCGCCTTAGCGTGAAAAGTGATTGGGGAAGAAAAAAAACCCAAACCTATGCTTCTTTAGACATTTGTAAAAAATAGGGAAATGATTTGACGTTTGTATAATTGGATACTTAACTGTATAGGTTATTTAGTTCCCATGGCTTAGACTGCCGTCTTGCGAGGTGGTGATTCGTCATGTCTATTGCCTCCCAACACTTTCGAACCGATGCTTTGAAAATGCTGCGCTTAACTGTGGCTTCAGGGAAGATTCTGGCTCCTAAATTAACAGTGGAGGTAAGTGAACCCGAACTCTAGATGGATGAATCTATGAAAACGTACTCTCGCCCATTGGCTCCATATCGTCTTGTAGGAAGGCAGCTAAAAACTGGCCCATATGCTTACGTCCAATGCAGAACTGATTATATAATTGTATAAAGAAAGAGAATCGCAAATACCTCTCCAAAAACACAGTTAAACGACTGGAAGATGCGAACAAGGTTGCAAGTAGAAACAAGACTGCTTTTAACTATGGCAGGCAAGTGACAGGGATTGACACAAGAACTGCACTCGTTGACTAGTAACCTCCGGTCGATGAACGCCCTTACCAAAACATCTCACAAGGCCGATTAAAATCCAGGGTGCTATATAATAGTCAGGGTACATCAACGTTGACTCGACTCTATTAGAATTTGATGACAGGCGTGCCTGTCTCACAGATGGCTTTTAAAACACTGACCACGTTATAATAGTCAAAAAAGAAGAGTTGTAAAGGAGAAAAGTGATTCGACCAGCCAAAAGTTTATGTTTGTGTAACTGAGAAACAAACCCCTCCGTCTGTGCTTCCAATTCGGCCGTATAGCCCTTTGACCATGTCAACAGCCTTCCGGCTCCTCTGTAGACCAGCAACGAACTATTCTTCCATAGAATAAGATACCGTAGCACGGATTTAGCTTGACTCTTACTTTAAAACATGTAATCAGTAATTTTTGTAAAAAAGGCATAAAATTTTTAGCTATTTACGGGGAGCGCTTATTTAAGCTCGCACTATGGTGAAGTCTTGAGACCGCAAAACGTATCAAAAGTGACGAATGAACATAAAAATGGAATCACTTGTGCTCAAATTATTGCAATGATTGATGGCAGTTTAAAAACTGATCATAACAAAGTGGATCTAATGGTTTAATTCCTCTTCTATTTTTTAATGCGAATTATTTAAATGCTTTTACCTAATGTAAAAGTGACTGGCAGACTCACCTTCTTCTCACATGCTCGTGGAATTCGGAGGTATTTGTCACCTTCGTCATGAGTTTTAGCTAAAACCATGAAAGCGTATTTAAAAATCGTCATTCACTTGAAAATGGTTTGTCAATTTGGTAGATTTTGCTACTTGCAAAGTGTGACACTCAACTCCTACGTGTCTTGGTGCTAATATCACTGTCAAAATCGTTGCTAATACTTTGTTTAGCAATTTCGGCAAAGGGTCAATTAGGGCTCCACCACTGTACCCCCTTCAGGTGGTCTGGCCTCCGAGACATGCCCCACCACCACCAAACCCGAGTATTTTGCCTCTCACCGTCTCCATCCGTCATTTTTCCTTCTAAAATCCCTTTTTAAATGCCTATTTTAGAGGTGCTTTAAAAAATTGCAATAACTTGGATTTTAAGTCCCATCGCAGGAATATTCTAAAACAATCGTCTACTTGAGTGGTTGAATGAAGGTGTTTTAAATTCAGTCGGTCAAATTTGCCATTAAAAGTGAACCAGCCACGTGAAGGGCAGAGTGTAGCTGTGTCAAATCTCCTCATAAATCACACAAAGTAAAAACGGTTTTAAAAATTGTCATATCAACAATACTAGATTATAAAAAATAAATATAATCAAGGTGGTTGGGATGAATTCGGTCTGAAAATGGAACTGAATGTCATTACTTAAATCCGAAAAACATGACAATGGCATTCTGGAGGCGGTTTCCTCAATCATTTCCACACATACTTCGTTTTCCCTCCCTAAATCAACTCCCTTCCTCTTAACATATGAAAGAGGTCCTTCAAACGGAATTTATTCCCCTTTGCGTACACTTTTGCCTGTTTCCATTCTGCTAGTTGCTTAAAAAACTTATCGTAAGGACAATATTATGCACAAAATAGATAAAATATATCATTACAAAATAGGCACTTGTCTGCTTTTTAGAACACAAAGAGGAGGAAATGACTTATTTCAGTCAAAGAAAAATGAGAGACAAACAAAAACAAGCATCAGGGTTTGCCTGACCCTTAGTGCTCTTTAACAATGGTGAAATAACAAGAAACAAAAAGAAGATAAAGGTGAAATGTGCAGACTGAGGATTTCCTTGAGTCTGCCTTTTCTCTCACCTTCCTCAGTAAGAATGTAACAAGTTGACTAGTGTCTGCACTGACTTTAAGATGAGGAAACCCGCGTTTGGTGACATGTTACAACTTCGATAGTATTGAAGTTAAAATTAGTACTGTATTACCAAAATGGTCTAATTCAGCATCCAATTCAACTTTTATGCAAATGTTGAAGCTATTTAGCATTTACATATTAAGTAATACGATTAGTTTCTCCATACCTTCTTTGCCACTAAGTAGTGAAATCAAATATATGCTACTTCATGCACCAAATTTCTATGATTGAAAATCTACGGAACAAGATTTTTTAAGTGAATGAAGCCGTAGACCACCAGTCCCGGCACCTTTACAACTTAAACACACTTTTCCGAAATTATTTTTAATGGAAGTAAAAAAGAGCGCACATTTATTAAAACAAATCTAACACCCTACTGATAAAATCGTAAATGCCGAAACCACAGGATAAACTGCTTCAGAGGTAACTTAAGTCAAGCTTACCAAATCAAACCACAATAGTTACAATTATTTAAAATAATTGAGATTTGGACTGGCTTACCACTCTTCTTCGGCATCGCAAATAGTCACGTCAAGGAGGAAGGAGAGCAAAAAAACCGAGTGACTGAGGCAAAAGTTCACACTAATCAAAGGTAATCGAGGGTGGAAAACAAAATGCAGTCTGTGTGCTGGTAGTTTTGCCTCAAAAGTCAAGGTCGCTGCAACGATACTAGAAGAACGCCATACCCAGGAGGCTGCGGTGGCGCAAAGTGAGGAATGGTGCAGCCTAGTGTGACTGGTCCGGGCAATGATGCGCATTGCGTGCGTCAAAGCGAGGACCTATCGATTGATCGACCACCGCCAGCCACACCACCCCTCACCACTGCCCTGTGTAAGCCCCGGACCGGGCACAGCGTGAGCTTCACTCATGGCTAGCACGCACCTTGGCTTTATCGATCCCTCTGCTGCGCTCTGTTGTTGTGGCACTGTGCAATGGGTAGCCCCAAGCATTAGTTGTGGGACAATGCAACACAAATACCGCCTATTTGATCATTTAAAAACCAATTTTTTCTAGTTCACTTTTATTGAGTCTCAATTGTGTCGTTTTAACCTGACTTGGATGTGTCTGTTTTACTCATTATCCGAGCATGCCTTGAAATTGTCGACTTTATGCTGAGAAGGTCATACGGAACCCTTATACCCCAATTAACGCTAGTTATTGCTGTCTAGACCCTTGTTACTGTCATTGCAAGGGATACGCCATTCGATGTCCTTCGAACTATCATGTAAATTGAATTTTTCGTTGTGGTGCCACACATAGTTGTCATGACCTTCGAATCTACCAATCGAGTGCTGACATCGATGACATCTATTTGTAAACTTTAGGGCAAAATGCCACATTATAAACTATCTGAAATGAGCAAATCACTTAGTTGAGTCAATTTATATCAATTGGCTATTGCACTGCGGTCTGCCAATTAGCCTTGCCATAGTGACATGTGAGTGGGTTGCGTCAAATCCATCAAAGAGATTTCATCCTTAGCTAGACGAAGTGCAGAAATTTTGTGTCATGGATTGATGAAACTCCAATTTAGTCATTCATTGTGAAGCATAAAACTATTTGGCTTCCAATTATACTGTCTTGTCTTGTCATGCACGTCCTTAGCCGCTTCCTTCTGATCTGATCAAAAAATGCCATGCCATCAACAATGTTTGCACGGTGATTTGTTGTGATTGGAAGCGACTTAGAGATGCCAGTCTATTGACACGGCACTCCTGATTGTCCTCTCTATTAAGTTTTCAGTAAAGATCGTTTGAACCTGGTGGTGGTTACATCCACACCTTCCAGGCAGAAGTTGCAGTGGATGGTCCCAAACAGATGCAAGAAGAAGGTTTAAGGAGGGTGGATTTGTTCTTCCCTCCTCTACATCGCTTCAAAGATAGGCATCACTTCGTTCTCAGAACACTGCTTACTGAAGACAAAACATTTTGGCAGTCCTAAGACTCCCCATCAACATCCATTTGGGTCTAGTTAATCACGCGGATGAAAGTAGGAAACAAATGACATAACAAGGAAATTTTTTGCAACATTCCAGAATTTGAAGGGTGGGTGAGACGTTTTTCTATCCACATTCTGCAAATGAAGATTCCCCTTCTCTTTCACATCAAAGACACGACTTTAGGGTTATCTTCCGATCGCCGTGTTTCAATTACAGCCAAGTTAGCATTTTCAGGATTGTTTTTGTCCATGAGAATCGTGATATGTATAATCATTCTGTCAGCTCAGATCTGCCCCACTGAAGGTGGTCATTCAAATCACTAGTCTCAATGTATCAAAATGTCGGCTTCCATTTGGATTATCCCCTTTACTGCCCTCAATGGTCTGGTCCTAACCGACTACGGGGCATGATCTTCTCTCCCAAAGTACACAGGTTAATTCAAAATTTTGGAAATGGAATAGAAGGCTTAGCTTGATAACTTCTTCTGTCGCAAAGAAGTGACAATTTCAGGCGCAGCATTCCAATCCGCAAGCGATGGAGTTTGCCATCCAGATCACGCAGGATACAGAGTCGGCTGTACCAAGTCTTCAAAATGGAAATTGGAAGATATGCTGACTCGCTTCGAACTTGTCAATCTTGTCACTTTCTGGAGTGGTTTTAACCAGCCACCAATTGGGGATCCCAGGCGGAATCACGGCCTTTCTTTTCCCGCTGTGACCCAGTCATGAATTCTGTCTGCATCGCCTCCGAATAAAACATTTTTAAATTTATAGTTTAAGCTTTAGTTATATTTTACATTCCCGATCCGTCTAGATCACAATAAATGACATTTCTTTCACCTTGACTTTTATAAGCATTCCTTTCCACCTCATAAAATCGGCTTTAGGCGCAATCTTTGGGTATACGGGAAAAGAAAACAACAATATAGTTGATCGATTTGATTTGGTTTTAGCTAGTTAAGGTCCTGCCGTCTCTTCTACATCAAAATCGCAGAAGTAGCCAGTGAGATCTACAAGGGCGCCTTTGAGTGTAAAAAAGACCCACGTTTAATGCCCGGAGGTCGATATGAGCTTCGCTCATCTCCGGTGCACACCTAGAATTTATCGATTTCATTTGCCAATCTTTGTTTGTCTACATGGGTGGTCGTAAGGTGGGGTATCGGGCGCCGAAATCCACTTAGCGGAAAGTAAAATTATTCAATCAGGCTAATGTTAGGATTTATATTATCAGAAATGTAAAGTGAAATACCAAAAGTAAAATCGAAATTTTCCACCTCAATATGAATTCATAGTGAGCGGTATTAAAAAGTGATACTTGTAGGTAATTAAAAAAGAAACAGACTTACGTATCGTAGTAAATTGATTATTATCCGTGTAGTGATAGAATAGCGGATTCACAGTTGTCAGCATTGTCAGGCGTCAGGGTCAGAAAAGGTTAAGATCGAGAGTGGGGACAAATGCGTAAGCGTCTGTCGCACCAAAGACCGTCACACCGCAATTGCGGCCCCATTAGACGACGACTACTCAGGGTGATGACTCACTCTGGTATTAGCGACACGTGTGCTTTATAATGAATATTGATTTTCAATTCCATTCTCATGCAGTTAATCAACTAAAAGTCGATGATAATGGTGATTTTTCTACACACATCTCTCGCATCACAGATTAATCCGATTAGACAGTTTTCTTGGTTAGTTAGAAATCAATGATATTGCAAAGTGGTGCTGAAAGCTGGGGAATTACATCTACACTTCGACTGCAACGATTCGCTGACAATTTGGATCAGAAAATTTGCAAAATAAGAAATAAGATGCCCCGCTTAAAACTGGTGCAAAGATGCTTCAAACAAAGCCAAGATGCAGTGTAATCTGTTTTGTATATAAGGGTTTAGCGTAGGTGATAAAACTGACAACGATATGCTAAAGTAACGGTTTTAAGTTTATTTTAAACTGAAAAATACCAATAGTTTGTAAACAAAAGCATAACAACTCATACGGTCAATGGAAAATTGCAAAAAGACTGAAAACATTTTTTTTCCAAATATAAACCAAAATAAGCCACGCCAAGGATTCATTGTTGGTAATTGTGTTAGCTGGTTAGGGACCAAACATAGGTTTTTTTGCATTTGCAGCAAGAAAATAACGCTTGGCATAAATCATTCTACATTTTTTAAACATATGTGATGGAGATCACACCATCAAATGGGGAAAATAGTATTTCACTTGCACTTGATTGAAAATGGTTTGAAATTTTGGATTAAGATTATGCAATCAGTGATTAATTTCACTTTTGCGATGCATAAGTCTAACATGAAGTCAATCACTGTACTTCTGTGTTGTTTAACTTGTCCACTATTTGGGGTCATAGTAAACGTGCAGTTTTGAACTCTGCCGGTCCAGGGTAATGTGGCTTTTCTAGGATGCTCCGGATTTGGACAAACGCTTTCATCCTTTTATTGTTTTCTGGTATATTCTTGCTTTTAGTAATTACATTTAGGGGCCATTTTTGCATTTAAGCTATCCCTTGCCCCAGAATACAAGGATATAAAAAGTAATATTTTTCAGCATTATTTACGGACGTTTAGTATGTCGAAGCAGGAATATTGATTGCCGCAACTCGATGAATCCTAAAACCTTACTTGCATACTATAAAAGACAGTATTCTCAGTGCACACATATTATAGGCAATCTTGTTTTGTGCAACTTAAAACGACTAGGTATATACTTATCGCCTAACGGCATTCTCTTAGAGGATGGTAGTGATCCTGATCTCTCCTTCCTGAATTCAATTCGAGAAGTATCCGGCTATGTTTATATAGGCAATAATGAGGTGAAACGGATACCACTCATCTCATTACGGATCATTCGTGGACGCGTACCATATCACGTTGGAAATGTCGGTGATGGAGCCCTAATTGTGACTCGCAATGCCAAAAATTACACTCATGGATTGGAAGTTTTGGATCTTCGTAGTCTTGCCGGTGAGATTTGTTGTGCCGCAAATACAATAAAGTGTAATTATCACAGCATTTATACAATTTCTTGAGTTGGTGATTTATTGTAATAGATTTGTGCCTCAAACGTCCACTCGTCAAACCAACAGCTTTTGTCTGGTTACCTTTAGTTTATTTTCACGCTATTTTTAAGTATTAGCTTGAATCCGATATTTTTGCCGTATAAGCACAAAGGAATACTAATTGTGTGGTATGGCGTGTCCTGGATCTATTTCGCGTCCATTATACTGTCCGCAGTAACCAGAAGCTAACCGAACTCGAAGGGGGGAGATTGTAGTTTTTCAGGCAAAATAATATGAGGGGGAATGGACACCGCATAAATCAGCGCCGACCCGAGGTCGCCTCCCAAGATGATGGCGACAGCATGCAAATGTCTAGCCCCATACCCGCATGTGCGCCCGCGTGTGAGCGCGAGGTGCGTGTGTGCTTGCATGCAGGTGTGCACGTGCTGCATGTGCATACACGAATTTTGGCTCCACGCCTCCTTTGCATCAAAAGCGAGGCTAGCAATGATGGTAGTGCTGCTTCCACCACGTGGTCCGCCACAACGATTCCATGTCTTTAGCCACCCATCATCCCGTCCTATGAGCAAGCGATCAACCCATGCTAGGTGCCTAAGTTGAGTTTCCTGCGGCTGTGGTTTTTTGGAGTTTCAAACCGTCTTGACCTTTTATGGTCGGTCTTTTGCCGCCCCTTTTGCCACTCTTCAGTTGCATGTTACAAGATCAAGCCAACTTCAGAAGGTTTTGTAGACAGGTAGGGTGGACCACCTGCTACTATCCATATGGTTGCTGTTAGATTTAAATCGGTCCATTTGTTCTCTCCTCCGCGTGTGTATAGTGATACAGGAGCACAATATAATAGCATGGGACAATCCAATGCTATGCCACTTCCAATACACCGTCGACTGTCCACAGCTCTTCGTGGATGTGAAGAATCAGAGACGACTGAGTGTCTCTAAGGAGAATCTCATATCTGGCAGTGGCTGCGATTACGGTACGTGTGTGGCTCTACTTGCGTGTTTTCCACTGCACAATTTGGTGCATCATGACGCGTGCGCGTAATATTTGCTTTTTATTTCAACTTGTCTCTTTTTTTCCTCTGTGTGTCTCTTTGATTCTGCGTGCTTGCAAAATGCGCTTTCCTCTCTTATTGTCTTCTGCTATCACTCCCAGATACTGACTCGCCAATGCGTCGTAAGTTTGCTTGCCTGCTGCTTACCTCCTCTTGCCTCTTTTGAAGCACCTTTTGGAGAATCTCGAGGTCTAGAGAATGCACACTCTTACCTGCCTGCTTGTGCCTGTGCGTTTGTGTGATTGATTCACAGAGTGAGAAAAAGAGCGGGGAAAGTAGCCAGCTAGCCACATATGTATGTATATCTACGAGGGTCGGATAAGCATGCATGCATACAAGCGAGTGCGGCGCTTGGTAACCAGAAGGAGAAGAGGAAACAGAACTGCTTTGTGACTGTGGCCTCTCTACGACACCTCTACCTTGCGGACCTCCAGAGAGACTCGTATTTCCCCTTTGCATGTGGTCGTTGCACTAGCTTTGCTGCCGTGGTAACTATGGTTCCTGGCTTGGATTCAGCTTCTCTTTTATTGTTATTTTTTCCACTATGTATGCCTCCTTTTTCCCGCACGAATGGCCAAACAGGTATTATCATTGTCTGGGAGGGCTTAGTTGTGTCCATTCAATGGACCATCGCTGGAGGCGGTTAGAGGCATCTATTAATTTGCATGACATCCTCTCTTGCGATATTACCTTGAAGTCTGGTCCAAATTGGCATATGGTGAGAGAATTTTTATGGCCTCTTCTGGACCCAATAATGCTCATCGTTTGTTTTACCTCCAAAGTCCACCAACAGTTGTGCGTTATCAGGAGCTCGAAGTGGGCTGTGGGGCTTCACAATCGCGTTTCCATTAGACATACCTGTCAGAAAATAATGATGGCTAAGTGCTCGCCTTTCTTGAGAGGACTAAGTAATGGCTCCACCCGAATTTATTTTTGTGCACTGTCATGAGAAACAACATTTGCTTTTGTTTGCTTGAAGAAGAGGAGGTGGAAATCGGAGGACGACGAGGCAGAGGAGGAGATTGGGTTGAGCATAAAGCCACGATCACATCGTAAGTAAAAATTTAATACCCTGCCTGTGATACCCCACCCCGGACACAATCGTTACCTACCTCCTAATCGAGGCGAAAATCGGGATGTCTACTTAATTTACCTTCATCTCCCATGACTCACTTGTCTGTGTGGCCAGGACCATCACATCAGGCCGCCAAACGGACACTTGCAACCCGGTTTTTGGAAAATGCATCCGTCTCAGCGCTGTTGTTGTTGCTGTTGGTGGAGCCGCTGTTAATGTTATTGTTGTTACAGCTGCAGCATCTTGCACTCTACCAACAGTTGTCCGGGTGGGTTGATCCTGACATCCCTGTGTCATGTGTTTCTGGTTGCGTTGACCTCCTGATAACAGTAATGGAGGTAATTGTAGCTTATGCATATACACACCCCGAACTTCCTGTGATCGCATTAAGCATAAAGTACCCAAACACATTTAAATGGCAAAATATCCTGACCTGGCTTTTTTCTCTCAGATAAAGGTACAAATGTCATTTTTTTGGATGCACGAAAAGTGGAGGTGGAGTGAATGGGAATGGAAAAGGGAGAGGGACATTCGTGATGTCGGCTCTTTGTACGCATACGTAGATTCTGATCTTAGCCTACTAATCTCACATGAAATTAACATGGTGAGGTTGTATTTTTTGCATCATACCCCAATAATGGCGCTTTTGCAATGGGAATTTGAATGCCTCCCGCTCTTCACTTTGACGCTTATGGATTATTAGGGAGTATCCTCCCCATTGGCAACAAATATTCTGAAAAGGATGGTTTTATAAAATCCGCAAAAGGGTTTTGAAATGTCTCACCTACTTCAATCAATGCGTTTACTACTAGCGTCACAAATATGTGTCGCTTCGGCTATAATTGGAACATTAACCCCCCCCCCCCTCCCATCCGATTTCATCCCTTCCCATGTGCCGATCCGAGTTCTGTCTAGGTCTTGATAACACAGGACGCTTTAGTTCTTGAGGTTTCACGTCTCATTCAATTGCTTCTGTAGAAACAAC